TGAAGGTGGGGGGGTCTTGAGAATTAAGTTACTTTGCGGGGATCGCGCTAATGCTGGAGCGACTTCATATCCAATGTTTCTCCTTAAGTACATCCAGTCCTTCCTCCATGTATCCATAGTAGTGATCAAACGAAATAAGTGTCGATATTGAGTCCACTCAGTTTTGTAACCTACAGCGTAAACAACAGTATAAAATTGGCGTGATCGCGGACCAAAAACAGAATAATAAAAGTGAAAGCTAGCGCCCAAATATCTCTGAAAAATCAGAGGAGAGAGATTATTGATAGAGACATATCATATAGAACTGCACTCTCTCAAGTTTGTTAGTGCACCTATATAGAAGAACTTTGCAGACAATCCCTCCATGACAAAATATAGTTTCAGAATAAATCCTTCTAGGTAGGAAAGGACATTAAGAAGGCCATACCCAATAAACATAAACACACGCAGGGAAGCAGGAGTGGTTGCAACATGAGAGAGATCTTATCCAGAAAAATAATTAAAGCAAAAAGGGCTGGGATGTGGCTCAAGAGGTAGAGTGCTTGCCTCACAGGCATAAGGTCCTGAGCTCAAACTGAGTCCCCCCCAAAAAAAGTAAAAGTAGAAAAGAATAATTATAACAGAATAATAAAAGATTTCACCATGGACTCAAAGTGGCGCACAATTTAAAAACCTCAGACTGTTTATTTCTGGAACTCTCTATGTAATATTTTCAGACCTTGGTTGACGGCAGATAACTGAAATAATGGAAAGTGAATGAAAGAATTAAAGGAGGCTGCTATATTACTATATGACCAGTAATGCTACTGCCAGCTATAGACTGAAGAGAAAAGAAAAAAACACTTCCATCCAAATACCTGGACGTGACTGTAACAGAACTTTTCATAACAGTTCTAACTGTAACATAAATATTTATCAAATGATGAACAAAATATGGAATTATCCATTTTGTGGAATACTATTCAGCAATAAAAATGAAGTACACATTAATGTAAGCTATGACACAGTTGACTCTCAAAATATGATACAAAGTGAAAAATGTAATGCAAAAGACTTCATGAATGAATCCATCTATATGAAATATTTAGAAAAAGCAAATGCATAAAGTCGATTTGTGGTTGCCCAAGACTAGAAGTGGAAATAGGATGTGGCTGCAAATTGGTACAAAGGACCTTCACAGAATGGTGAAAATATTCTAAACTTGGTTTGTGCTGATAGTTGCACAATAATTTTAGTTCTTCCTTTCTGATTTGTGTGCTTTTCATTTCTTTTTCTTGCCTAATTGCCCTGGCTAGTACTTCTAGTAGTATCCTTGCCTTGTACTGGATCTTAAAGGAAGAGCTATTTACTTTAAAAAAAAAAGCTATCTCCCCCTATCTCACCATTATGATAGTACCTAAGGGCTTTTCATATAGTCCTCGCTGTGTGAAGTTTCTTCTATTTGTACTTTTGAGAGTTTTTATCATGATAAATGACAGATGGTAAATTCTGTCAAAAGCTTTTCTGCCTTTATGGAGATGATCATGTAGTTTTCATCTTTCATTCTGTTAACATGATAGAACACATTGTTTTGAGTATGTGCAATCACCTTTGTAGCCCAGGCATGATTCCCACTTGGTCATGGCATGTGAACCTTTTGTAGTGTTGAATTCAATTTGTTATTTTACTGAAGATCTTGCATCTATGTTCATTAGAGATATTGGCCTATAGTTCTCAATGGTACCTTGCCTGGTTTTTGTTTCAGAGTGGTGCTGGTCTCATAAAATGAGTTTGGAAGTATTCCCTCTTCTAATTTTGGAAAAGTTTAAGGACCAGTTCTCCTTCCTGATTATTTGACAGAGTTCCCATATAAAGCCTTCTGGTCCTGAGCTATTTCTTCTCCCTCCTCCCTCCTCCTCTTCCCTCTCCTCCTTTTCTTCTCTCTCTCTCTCTCTTCTCTCTCTCTATATGTATGTATGTATGTATTTTGTGTTACTGGAGATAAAATCCAGGGCCTCACATATGCTAGGCTAGTGCTCTCCACTGAGCTATACCATCAGCCTTTTTATATTGTAAGGTGTACAGTCTTTTTTCCTTTTATGTAGGTATTTATCAGTATAAGCCTCCATCTGTGTGTTGATTTTGGTGTATCTCACAAATCTTTTTCATTTGATTTTAGATATTTTTAAAGTTCTGGGTTTTGTTTTTGAGACAGGGTGTCACTGTGTGGCCCAGGCTGGTCTGGAACTCACAATCCTCCTGCCTTAATCTCCTGAGTGCAGATGATAGTGTGCACATGACGCCTGGCTAAAGTTGTTTTGATTTCCTTTTTGACTCAGTCATTGCTTGAGTATGCTGCTTAGTTTCCACATGGTTTTAGAATTTTCTGTTTTACTGTTATTAATTTCTAGTTTAATTTTGTTGTGGTTGAAAAAGAGACTTGGAATGATTTCAATGTCCTTTTTTTGGTAATTGATTAGTCTTATCTTAAATATGATAAGACTAATTTTATGATTTGATGTGGCTTATCCTGGAGAATGTTTCATCTGCACTTGTAAAAATGTGTATTCTGTTGGGTGGGGAGTTTACTATATGTCTGTTAGGAGTTTCATTTATTTTGTTGTTCAAGTCAGCTGTTTATTGATTTTCTGTTTGGACATTCTATCTATTATTGAAAGTGAAGCATTGAAGTCTCATACTATTATTGTATTGCTGTCAATTTCTCCCTTCAGATCTGTCTGTCACAATTTGCTTTATGTATTTAGTCTCTGATGTTGGCCGTGTATATAATTGTTATATCTTGCGATTGAATTGACTCTTTTTAATAACTATCTTTGTCTCTAGACAGATTTTGGCTTGAAGTCTATTTTGATTAAGTACATCCATCCTTGATTTTAGTTACCACTTGCATGCCATATTTTTTTTTTTTTTTTTAAATTCTCTCACTCTGTGTGTGTATGTGATCCTTGTGTTATTTTTTGTCACTGTGTCAAAATACCTGAGAAAAACAACTTAGGGGAGGAAGAATTTATTTTGGCTCATACTTTGAGAAGTTCTGGTCCGTGGTCCCCTGGCTCTGTTGCTCTGGGACTGTGTTGAGTCAAAACATCATGGCAGGAAGCATATGAAGAACAGAGACCAGGGACAATATATACCCTTCAGAAGCATGCCCTCCCTCTCCCACCCGGTGACCTACATCCTCCAACAAGGCTCCACCTCTTAATGGTTCATTCGGCTATGAGTACTTATGAGCCAGTCACCTTTCAAAAGTCCACTGACTGGCAAACAAGCCAGTTTTTTTTTTTTTTTGAGGTTTTACTGACTTTATTTTTTAGAGGAGTATCAGGTTTTTTCAATCAGAAATACCGCCACCAGGACGCATCTTCATTATTGTGATCACTATTAAATGGCTTAATGACTAAGTGTGGGTTGCTAACTTCCACAGCTTCCAGCAGCTTCTGGGCTTCCTTGTCAAATGACTCTTTGTGCAACCCTAGAACTTGTAGTTTACATTCTGGAGACCTTAAGACTTCACATAACCTCCTGATTCCTTTAGACCCCATGTTATTCTGTGTCAGGTTCATTTTTATCAGTCTTTGGTTGCTGAGAAGAGAAGAGGAAAGATCCTCACAAGAGAGAGACGTCAAACCACAGTATTCCAACCCAAGCCTCTGGATGCTACAGTTTGGATGTCTCAAAGCATTACACAGAATTTGTACTCCTTCATCCTGTATGTTGTTGTTCCCAAGGTCTAGGCTCTGCAGGTTTGGGTTGTTCAAAATAGCAGAAGCCAGATCCAGACAACATGCACTAGTGAGAACACAGCCCATCAACTCCAAATCCTGAAGACTACAGCTTGTTTGTCGAAAAACGTCACAAAGACGACGTGCTCCATCATCTTGAAGCCAGTTTGATCCCAGATCCAAATGTGTCAGGCTCTTGTTGTGTAGAAGAGAAGTTGCAAGATATTCACTGCTAACTGAAGTGAAATGGCAACTCCTCAGCACAAGGCTCTGTACAGTACACTGTGGATGTTTCAAGGCATCACTTATAAGTTTTATTCCACCATCTCCCAAGACATTGTCTGCCAAGCATAAATGTGTCAGCCTCTCATTGCTGATGAGAGCCACAGAAAGATCCTCACAAGCAGCTTCTGTGAGGCCACAGCTTTCTAAGGACATTCTCTCTAGGCAACACTTTGGATGGCCTAAGGCCTCACACAACAACTTCACTCCATCATCCAAAAGATTATTGGTCGATAGATTCAAAAATACCAAGCTCTGGCTTTTGATGAGAGCCTTAGATATATTTAGACAACAAACTGCAGTTAGGTCACAGGATTCCAACCTCAGATTCTGCAGTTTACACTCTGGGTGTTTCAAGGCTTCACATAAGGATTTTACTCCATTATCCCCTATGCAACTCCCTTTCAGGTCAAGATGCATCAGATTCTGGTTGTGAGGCAAAAAACTAAAGACAGCCTGATAATTATCAGGGAAAGAGACGAATGTCAACAGTAGTTTTTGTAGTTTACACTTTGGATTTATTAGTTCTTGATGAAAAATCTTCATTGCTAATTCATTAAGGTTGCTGTGACACAGCTCTAGTTCTTTCAAGTGTTCATTTCTATGAAGCACTGTACAGAGTTCTTGCCAACAATGAGTAATGTGATAAACATCCTTTTTCCCAGGTTTAGCTGTGGGGCTGGAACTGAACATCTTTTTAAATACCCCAGTAATAGATAGTTTCATGGTTCTCAAACATTGGCTGTGTTTAAGGCAGAAGGAAGACACAAGCAAATGTATTTCTTCACAAATATTAATGACAACCTTTGGGAAATATTGCATTGCCTGGGTTATAAATGCTTCATCTTGAGTCTCATAAAGGTAATGAAACAAGTCCAGAAGTCCCAGCTGTGATGGTGCAGAGTCACTGTTCCCTAATGTTTCCATCCACTGAAGTAACTCCCATTTTATCTCTGGAGATATTTTATAGTTAAAAGTTTCCTCCAGTTGTTTTACTGTATCTTCATTCAAAAGGCCAAACAAAAAGCACTTCATCTGTGTCAAATGGGGGTATTGATAACTTTTGCTTTCAAGTAACAGCTTCAAGCTTTCAAAAGACTGGACAGAATGGTCTCTGGCTTCCCAATCGACTTTCAACATATAAAACATAGCTGCAAAATATTCCTGAATGTGGAGGTGGGTGAACACATAGCAGTTTTCATACTCTGTGTCCTTTTGAAGAATATTCATGTCCAGAAACGTTGAGATATCGATTTTGGTTAACTCATGTTTTCTGAGATTGTCCTTGTAAAGCACATGTGTCATGGTCCACACACCATTGGCAGCCAAGCGGCATAGGCTCCTCAGCTGGGCTTCGTTAGGTAGACTAGAAGAACATCCATCTACTCGTGAAAATAAGTTTGAGATATAGCATGTAAACAGAGATGTGGTTGTTTGGCAGATCATTGTGATATTGCTGCCCTTCTCCATTTGCTGCTGCAGACAAGTACAAACAATCCAGCACACCAGGGGGATTTGGCACATTCTAAAAAGCATCTCATTGTTTCTTATTGAACTGAGTGCTCTCATGGCCCATGATTTGTCTTCAAAAAACTGATAAATATACTCCCTTCTTGCATCCTCAGACATTCCTAGTAGCTTTACATAACGCTGGCTCTTCAACAAAGGCTTTAGTCTCTTAGAAGCTGTGAGTCTCGTTGTCACCAATAAGGACGACTCAGGAAGCATCACCTTCCTCAGCAAACTACTCATGAGGAAGGACACTGGGTGTACCAGTGTCCAGTCATCACACAGTGCAAACTCAGGTTCCTCGAAGGCAAAGTTCAGTTCATCAAAACTATCGATAATAAAAAGGAGACTACTTGGCTGGGATAGAATCCGCTCAATGGGAATTTCTGTGATAGGCCAGTCCTTTGATATTAACTGGGCAAAGGTGCTCTCTTTCATTTGGCTAATTTCTCTCCCATTGAGATAAAAAACATGGGCAAACCTCTGCTGATAGAGACTGCCCTTTGCCCAGTCTAACATTGCCTTTCTCATCAACGTTGTTTTCCCAACTCCAGCAGCTCCCTGAAGCACCACTGTCCGTGGCTGCTTATCAGTTTTGACATCCACATCAAACAAATGTTCCAAGAGTTTTCGCTCTTCCTGAGTCACTCCATGATGGAAATCTGCAGGCTTTCTGAGCAAAGAGTTCTTATCCCACACGATGCAAAATTTTTCCTTTATTTTCATTCTATATCCTGTTCCATCACCCATCACTGCCTCCTGATCTCTTTGTGCTTCCACCTCCATGGCCTTAGCATTCTCTGGTTTCATGGTCTGGGCTGCCCATTTGATCTCTGCTTTTGCTCTCACACACAGATCCTTCAGGTTCATCTTGCCAAAGATCTTGAGTGTCACATTCCAGGCCTGCTCTCCTGGATAATATTGGTTCATCAAGTTGGCCAGTTCTTCCCGCTTGGCCTTCTTCACTGCAGTCCAGGGGATTGGGCAGTGCCCAGGTTCCACATGAGGCTTTGGGACCATTTTATATTAAAATCTGAATCTAAAATGAGTCTCTTGTGGAAGCATATCATCAAATCTTTTTTTTAAGCCAGCAACTCTATATGCCTTTTGACTGTGAAGTTTAGCCCATTTACGTCTAAAGAAATTAATAATGAGTGAGGATTTATTATCACCATTTTGTTATTGTTTTCTGTCTGGTAAGCAATTGTTTTGTTGCTCTCTTCTTTTGCTATTTGGTTATTTTTTGATAGTAACTTGTTTTTATTCTTTTTTTCTTTTGTGCCTCTGTTTTAGGCCTTTCCTTTGTGGTTACCTCAGGCTTGCATAGAATATCTTGTAGATATAAACATCTATTTTACACTGATGCAACTTGACTCCTACTGCATACAAAAGCTCTACACCTTTACTCTCCACTTTCCAAACCTTGTTGTTCTTGTAGTGTGAGATTACTTCTTTCTGTATTTACAAATTTTGGTGGTTGCAGCTGTTTTCAATATTTCTATCTTTTACTTTTTATATTAGGGCTAAAAGTAATTTATGTATCATCATTACAGTGCTACATTATCAAGTATTTGTCCATATACTTACCTTTGCCAGAGATATTTTTGCTCTCAGATTGGAATCTACCATATTTTGTTTCAAAAATGAAGAACTTCCTTTTGGCAGTACTGAGGTTTGAACTCAAGGCCTTGAGCTGCAAGTGCTTTACCACAACAGTCACACCCTCAAGCCTGTTTACTTTAATTGTCATTAGAATAGGGTCTCGTATTTGTGCCTGGGTCTGCATGGACTGTGACCCTCCATTTATGCTTCCTGCAAAGCTGGGATGACAGCTGTACCACCACCCCCAGCTTTTATTGGTTGAGATTGGGTCTCGAGAAGTTTTTTGTCTGGATGACCATGAATTGCTATCCTTCCTGATCTCTGCCTTTTAAGTAGCTAGAATTAAAGGTGTGAGCCAACATACCCAGTTTCTTAAGTATTTCTTTTCTTTTCCACTATTGGGGTTTGAACTCAGGGACTCATGCTTGCTAAGCAGGTACTCTACCACTTGAGCCACTCTGCCAGCCCTTTTTTGTGTTGGGTATTTTCAACACAGGGTTTCAGGAACTATTTGCCCTGGCTGGCTTTGAACTGTTACCCTGATCTCTGCCTCCTGAGAAGCTAGGATTACAGGTGTGAGCCATCAGTGGCTGGCTGCTTAAGTATTTCTTTTAAGGCAGGTCTAGTGATGACAACTTCCTCAATTTTTGTTAAGTTTGGGGAAGACTTTCTCTCTCATTCATTTTAAAGCATAGTTTTTCTGGGTATAAAATTTTTAGTTGGCACTTTGAAAATATCATCCCTCTCCTGGCTTGCAAAGTTGCTGAGAAAATAGCTGATAGTTTTACAGGGGGTTCCTTATATGTGAAGAACTGCTTTTCGTTTGCTAATTTCAAATTTTTCCCTTTTTTTTTTTTTCCTTTTTTTGATTTCTGATAATTTAATTATAATGTCTTGGTATAGATCTCTATGTTTTTTGGGTCTTCCTGAATCTAGATGTCTAATTTTGTTCCCCAGATCTGAGAGCTTTTCAGTTATTTATCTAAATAAACTTTTGCCTGTTTCCCTCTCTTCCTGGAGTTTGAACTCAGGGCTTCACACTTGCAAAGCAGGTGCTCTACCACTTAAGCCATACCTCCAGTCCATTTTGCTGTGGTTATTTTTGAAATGGGGTCTCACAAGTAGTTATGATTATAGTCATGAGCCACTAGTGCCTGGCTATCCTCTGCTGTGAAAATGCTTTACTGCATTTTCATTTCATTCATTGTAGTCTTCAGTTCTGGAATTTGTTTCTTTTTTTTTTTTAATTTCTCTTTGTTTAACTTCTCATTTTGTTCATGTATTGTTTTCCTTGAATTGCTCTGTATTCTCTTATATATTGCTAAGCTTCTTTAAACAATTTTGCATTATTCATCAAGCAATCCATAGATCTCCAGTTCTTGGGTGTTCGTTACTAGAAATTTATGTGCTCTTTGGTGTATCATTTTTAATTTTTTGTGGTCCTTGTAGACTTGCATTGCTGCCTATGATTTGAAGAAGCAGTCACCTCTTTCAGATTCTATGCACTTACTTTGGTAGTGAAAGTCCCTGGACGGTGTGTGAACATGCTGGCAGGGTGGAATATGCAGTGGTGCCAGGCCTGGAGGGTTAGGGGGATGCTGGGTCCAAGGCAGGTGTGCATAGTAGTTAGGTCTGGGGTCAGTGTGTAAAGGGTGAATTTGGATCTTAAATCCAAAAGTTTGGTTGAATAAGAGAATTAGCATATGCATTCAGGCTTTTTTTTATACAACTTAAAAAAAGAGATAATCTTCTTTTGCATAACTGTTGTTTAGGAATGATTAAAGAGGATTATCTGATCTAATGACAATTGGGTAAAACCACCTTAATTCAAATAATTCATATTTTTAAAGTCTGTAAATATTAAACCAGTTTTTTTTGTGTGTGTGTGCTGTAAGAAAGTTTGTAATATGATACAGAAGAAAAACTATATAGCATAGAAATTGAAAACATGGAAGGAGCTTAGAGATATGTCAATACCTTTCATTTTACAAAAGAAGAAGGTACAAGGAAAAATGAATTGTTCATATAACTTGTGTGCTATGGTCAAATTGGTCTTTAAAAACATATTTCACCCTTATATAATACTGTATGAGTTCCAAGACTTCTTTACAGGAGGGAACATAAAGGGAATGAATACAAAAAAAGCCCTGACAAATCCTGTGCTCAATGATGGCAGAGAGTGGCTACTGGCCCACCTTACATCTCATCTCTTCCACTAAGAAGATAAACGAGAAAAGATGGCCTTTTCCTAATGTGCACCCAAAGGCCATTTCCCTATCTCTGCATTCACTCAGCATTTAGCAATGAACTACCTGGGGTTCATATTTTTAACATAGAAAGCTTCTCTCAAACTATACATGATTTCAAATAGTAACTTAGGAAAACACTAAACTTAAAATTTATAATCTTTTGAGTTGGGCGTGGTGGTACACATCTCACTCTGGATGCTCAGGTGGGAGGATTATGAGTTTGAGGCCAACCTGGGCTATACAGTGAGTTTGAGGGCAACTTGGATTACCAGGTAAAAGCCTTGTCTCAAAAAAAATTATAATACTTTAGTTTTTCTATGATTACTAATAAGGCAATAACAGGATGTGTATCTATATTCTTTGGTTATTTTTTAAGTACACATTTTTTGAATTGAACTCAAACAAAGGCCTCAAATGGTGTCCTTCAGAAAATTTTAAGTAGGATTTTCAAATTTTGTGGTATGATTATTTTCTTAGCAAAAATTTCTATAAGTGGAAGTATTTGGCCAAAAGGGAGGTATATCAGGATCCTGTGATATATCAATATGGTTATTCGAGTACACATAACTACCATGTTTATCAGTTAGACTAGTAGAATATAAATCAGTGCCAACATTTATCTGGAGAAAAGTGCCAGTTAAGGTATTTACCTACTGACTGACTGACTGGTGCTGGGAACTGAACACCACAGGACCTAAACATGCAAGGTAAGCACTCTATCACCAAAAACATCCATAGTCTTTGGTTTTATGAGAAGAGTCTCATTATGTAGCCTCTACCTCTGCCTCCCAAGTTTAGGGATTACAGTCTTACACCACCACGGCCAGTCAGTTAGTGTTTTTTTTAATGACTATCCAGGAATCTTAACATTGTCATGACAATGAGGATAACAGAATTCTAGAACTTAAACCTTGGTAAGCCTTTCAGTACTATCCAAATTTTTACCTACAGGAAAAATAAAATCTAAAGTAGTTAAATAACTTATTCAAAATTACATCACAATTTAATGCCAAAATAATGGGATACATTTAGGAATTTTAAGTTCCTAAATGTACAAATGCAATAGTCTTTTTTTTTGTTTATGGATAATTTTAAAAAGAAAGGTTTTCTCAGAAAACTGTATTTCAACACCATCTAAGATGGCTACTATCAAAAAAATGAAACAAAAAGACAAGAGCTAGGGGAGTTATGGCAAATGTAAAATAGTGCCACTGAAACAGAAAACAGTATGTTGGTCTCTCAAAAAATAAAAAATAGAATTACTATATGATCCAACATTCCACTTCCAGGTATATACCCAATATATTTGAAAGCAGAGTCTCAAAGAGATATTTACATACACGTCTCCAGAGGCATTCAAAACAGCTAAAAGCTAGAAGCAACTCAAGTGTCCATCAACTGATAAAAAGCTAATCAATATGGTATACGCACATAATGGAATTTTGTTCAGTCTGACAAAAATGTAAATTCTGACATATAACAACGTGAATGAACCTGTATAACATTATGCTAAATGAAATAAGCCAGTACAAATCCATAGAGACAGCAAGAAGAAAGGTGGTTTCCAGGGCCTGGTGGGGGAAATTATTATTTAATGGGTACAAGATTCTTAGTTTTCAAGATAAAGAGATCTAGAGACAGATGATGGTGATGGTCTATCAAAATATAAGTTACTTAATGCCATCAAACTGAGCACTTAAAACACTTTGGATAATAAATTTTATGCTGTATATATTTTACCATAGTCTTTTCTAAAGGATAGTATGTCAAAAATTTACTTACATTTAATGCTGGTAGTTACACTTATGGGAGCTGAGCAGTCTACTGCAGCTAAAAGAAAAAAATGTTTTGCTTAATATTATCCTTCATATTTATAAATGATAGCAAATATCAAATGTAAAAATCACAAGACATTCCAGAACTTGAATTTCCTTGTTTTGATTTTTATGGTACTTATAGAGATGAAAAATAAAAAATACACCAGTTGAAATTAACAGTTCAGTATACTACAGAAGAAAATACTAGTGAACTTAAAAAACAGCAACATAAACTATCCAAAATGAAACAAAGACTGAAAAAGGAAATGAACATATTTTATCACTAACCTAATAATATACCTGTAGTCCTGTACCTTAACACGTAACTGGAGTCCTAAAGTAAGCTTGAAAAAAAAAAAAACCAAAATGGAGGACCTACACTACCTGATTTTAAGGCACAGTGTACTGTTATGGTAATAAAGACAGATATAGATTAGCAGATCCAAAGATTAAGTCTAAAAATAGACCCACACATATGGTCAAATGACTTTTGAAAAGCACCACAGTAATTCAATAGGGAAAGGATAATCTATTCAACACATGGTACTACAAAATTTGGTATCAGCAGGCAAAAAAATGACATACACTCTATGCAAAAATTAACTCAAAATGGATCAAACTTAAACGTAAGTGCTAAAAGTATAAAACTTCCTGAGGAAAATAAATTTAGAAAGCCTTAGTGGCCTATGATTAGGCAAAGATTTCTTAAACATTAAAAACACAAACTAAAAAATCTGAAAACTGAACTTGATCTCCCATGATCTTAACACCACAATACATCATTTTTTTTCTTTTGAGCTTTTTAACCACTTAAAAATATAAGCATCATAATATATGAACTAAAATCTTAAAACTTTCACTCTTCAATAAGAGCCAAGTATAGTGGTGTACTTCTGTAATCCCAGTATTTTAGAGGTGGAGGCAGGAGTATAACAAGTTCAAGGCTAAGCCAGCCTGGGCAACATAGAGAGACCCTACCTGCCCCGCTCCCCCAGGAAAAAAAGAAAAAAAAAAAAAAGAAAGAAAGAAAGAAGGAAAAAAAAAGTAAGCAAAATTAGTTAAAAAAAAAACAAACCTAAACAAGCTGGTAAAATTCAAATAAGCTCTGTAGTTAATAGCATTTTATCAATACTAATATCCTGGTTTTGATAATTATGCTATAGTTTTTAAGATTTTAACATTAGGGGCTAGATAAAGGTATATGGTAACTAGACTATTTTTTAACTTTCCTGTTTCTAAAAATTATTACAGAACAAAAATTGTAAAAAGAAAATAGTGGGCAGGGGATAGCTGAGTTATCTAGAGTGCTTGCCTAGCAGATGTGAGGTCCTGGGTTTGATCCCCAGCACTGGGGAAAAGAAAAAAGCAAATGAAAATACCAGCCATAGACTAGAAAAAATATCTGCAAAACATATATGTAATATAAGACCTGCATTTACTATATAAAGAACTCACAATTTAAGACTAAATAGGTATTAGAAGATATACAAATGGCAAGTAAGAATAAGAAAGGTTGCCCAATATCATTAGGCATCAGGGAAATTTTGCAAACTAAAACTAAGAGGAGATACTACCACGTATCCATTATAATGTCTAAAAAAGCACTACTAATAATCAGATGCTGGTGAGAATGTAGAAGTAATGGAAATCCAAAACCATATAGTCACTCTGGAAAAGAATTTGGTAGTTTCTTATAAATTTAAACATATATTTACCATATTACCTCACAATTCCACTCTAACAAATAAATTTACTCAGATGAAAGATGTGAATGTTTACAATAGCTTTATTCCTAAAAGCCAAAAGTGAGTCAAAACAATCCAAATGTTCACCAACTGTGAATCAATAAACAAATTATGGTAGATTTGTTAAAGGAATTCATTAAATGAATGAATCTACTTTTTATTCTATAAACACAATAATGTGGATGAGTCTCAAAAGTGTTCTGGTAGCCAGGCACCAGTGGCTCATGCATGTAATTCTAGCTGTTTGGGAGCTGAGACTGGAAGATTGAGGTTCTAGCCCAGCTTGGGCAAAAAATTTCAGGAGATTCCACCTCAACGAGAAAAAGCTGGGAATGGTGCTGCATGCCTGTCATCCTACTGATGGGCGGGAAGCATAAAATGGGATGGTGGTCCAGGTAGGCCTAAGCAAAAACAAGCCCTATCTCCAAAATAACTAGACTAAAAAGGGCTGGAGGTATACCTCAAGAAGTAGCGTACCTGCTTAGTAAGCGCAAGACCCTGAGTTCAAACTCTAGTAGTTCCAAAAAAAAAAGTATTATGCTATATTTGAAAGACACGAAGCCTGAAAGGATACAAATTGTATGATTCTATTTATACGAAATTCTAGAAAAGGCAAAAACTATAGTGACCGTGCAGATCAGTGGCTGTCAGGGATTTGAGGGGAAGTAATTGATTACAAAGGGTAAAATGTGATGGAAGTATATCAGGAATCAGCATGATTTTTCTGTAAAGGGCCAGAGAGTAAATGCTTTCAGTCTTTGCAGGGTAACAGAGTTGGTCACAACTAGTCAACTCTCCCTCTTGGTGCAAACGCTGCTATAGACAATACATGAAAGAATAAACATGATTGTGTTTATGGGCAATTACATTTGAATTTCATATTATTTTCACATGTCACAAAATATTGTTCTTTTTCTCTGAAACCACTTAAATTATGAACATCATTCTTAGTCCATGAACTGTACAAAAGCAGGTGGCAGGAAGATTTGACATATAAACTATATTTAAATGACTCTATTTTTATAGTATGATTGTAGTGATGGTTACACATGTACACCTTTTTAAAATTATTTAACTATTACAATTAGAGCACTTTATGATAACGTAGGTTATGTCTTAATAAGGCTGACAAAAAAAAAATACAGTCAGAAAGAAACACAATAGCCAGGATCTTCTCTGCACAACTTCCTTAGTAAAGCAGATAACAAATTTGCATTGATCACTTCATCTAGCCAGAGTATGGTGCACAATTATAATCCCAGCACCCAGGAGGCTGAGGTAGGAAGACTGCAAGTCCGAGGCCAGAATGGGCTATAGGGAAAAAAAGAAAAGAAAAAGCCAAGTATCTAACAAGAGAATAATAGGGCCAACACATAAATGAAATGACCTAAGCACTATAGAGATGTCAAACAGTAACAAAAACAGCACTTTTTGAATTTGCCATAGACACAGTCAATGGTTGGCATCTCATTACACCAAGCACAAATCCTTCTGTAAATGATGCATTAGTTTCTGCACAAGTTCATCCTAATGAGAAATAAAGCTGGGGCTAGGTAGGTACAGAAAGTTCACATTTGCACACTTTTACCTTTGGCTGAAAGAATTTTATTATAGTGAACAGCCATGTGATTCTTCACCAGCTGGAGAGTGGTTAGTCTGAGAGAAGAGGAGTCAGTGCAAAAAGCTAAAAATTAAAACATATTCAATCATTATATATTTAAAATCCACATTATCATCATCACAAGATAAGCAAGTTACTGATTATTAAGCTCATTCTCATAAAGTGTTCTCAAATTCAACCACAGTAATACTGAAAAGATGCCTTTGTGATGCTGGAATTTGCACTGGTAACACTAATGAGCTACTGACCACTCGGGTTCAAGTCTTTCCAAGAGGAAAAGTTGCAGGCTTGAGAGTTTGGGGAAGAGATTTTAGAATTTAACCAATTACTCTATTTACAAAAGTATTTCTTTTTCGTATCTCTCAATCTTGCAAAAATCTTTATCTGCTTGCTTGATTATGTTACCATATTAATATCTGAGAATATCAATTCTCAGAGTTTGGGAGATCAAAACAACCCCAAACCACAAAACCTTATACAAACATTCCATTCTGAGAGGCAAATTTCTAACTTTGCACCAGGAAACAAGATCTACAAAACTATTTACTACAGTAGTACTGCAGCCTTTTTTAAGTAGTAGGTCTATCTTAGGACAAGTACCATCACATAAAAATTCCATGACATTAAATTACTTGACCCTTATTCAAACCATTTAAAGGAAAGCTTAGAAACTGTTAAGCATTTACATACAAGTATACTTATAAAGCATAATGTGGGCATATATAAACGTATGTATGTATGTATTTTGTAGTGCTGGGGATCAAATCCAGAGCCTTGCACTTGCTAGGCAATACAGACGTATTTTTTTAAACATTTAAAATAGTTTTTGAGAATACATATATATAGTTAAAAAATTCAACAGCATGTAGAGATTGAAAAAATAAGTGACTTTTCTACACTGAACCTTAGTCTCCCCTCCCACATATATATTCTACTACTTTTATAATCAGTCCTTCCAGGCTAACTATGCATAATATAGGCCTATGCAATAATTGTGCCACTTATTACTATTAAACACATTTCTTAAGTACCATTTGCCACACATAGTTCATTACATGTCTAGTTATTATCATAATTATTTAATAGAAGAGGAAACTGAGGCACAGAGATATGAATTAGGTCCTGGGTCACACTGATAAAGGATGCAGTGTTTGAATGTGAACTGATTCAGACTCATACTGACAACCACTGTACCTATACCAGCTCTGCACATATATTCTTTTTCTAAAAAATGTTAGGAAACATTGCATATTATTTTGCACCTTTTCTTGTGTGATGTAAATTTTAAATCTAGTTTCAAAACTTTCATTTTTCAAAGTTTATGGGTTTAGTTGTGCTCTATACGCTCAACACAAAAAATGTGAAGAAACAGAAAATGTGACTCTGCTGTCATATTTGGAGGTAACAGTATCAAAGATTTTTTTCACGTAAATAAAGAAAAAAATGGATTTCAATTATTTTGCCTAAAGCCCAGATTTATAACTTTTTTTTGGCAGTGCTGGGGTTTGAACTCAGGGCCCAGAGCTTATTTTTCTAGGCAGGCACTCTACCACTTGAGCCATACCTCTCACCCTTTTAGCTTAGATTATTTTTCAGATAGGGTCTCTGCTATTTGCCCAGACCCAGCCTTGAACAGTGACCCTCTTACCTATGTCTCTTGTGTAGGGGGGATTACAGACATGTGACATCATGCCCAGTTTATTTGTTGAAATGGGATTCCATTAATTTTTTGCCTGGGTGGCCTCAAATCACAATCATCCTGATCTCCTCCTTCTGAGTAGCTGGGATTACACACCTGAGCCATTGCATCCTGCCCCCGACTTACAACTTAATTTAAGTTTTTTTAGTAGGAAATGGGCATTTATTTACTCACTCAATAAAGTTACTTTGCAGCTGTTACGAAGAGCCGCACATTTCGGTGTCAGGCACTGTTCTAGTAGTTGCAAAAACCAAACCAAACCAAACCAAGTTGGAATAATCATAGTTTATATAACTATACATACTATGTTGAAAGAAAGAACTCATAAACTCAAAAATATCAATGAGAACAGGAAATCATGAAAAGTACAGAGGAGATGTGAGAAAGGACCAAATAAACCATTTAAGTGAAAATTAAATAAAATAAATACAAGCCAGACTCCAGTGCGTTGTGCCTGTCATACTAGTCATTTGGGAGCCTGAGATGGGTCAGATCATGGTTCAGGATCAGTAGGGCAAAAGTTCACAAGATGGGGCAGCGGGGAGAAATGACCCAAGCCTTGTATGCACGTATGAATAATAAAAGAAAAAAAAAAGTTCACAAGAACCAATATCTCAATGGAAAAAAGCTGGGTGTGGTGTTGCACACTTGTCATCTCAGCTATGGGGGGAGCATAAAAGTGAGACCCTTTCTCAAAAATAACCAGAAAAAAAGGGCTGGAGGCATGGCTCAAGTGGTAGAGAGACTGCCTAGAAAGTGGGAAGCTATGAGTTCAAACCCCAGTTAAAGTATGTACTTTAACATTAACATTAAAATTTTACTTCAAAGGCTTTAAAATATAAAACCATCACAGGACCTAGAAATTCAGTTGAAAAAGAAGCCACAATCATTCTCTTTTTCTCTGCACAGTTTTTCCTTTTCAGGGCTGTGTCATTAATACTTGGTAATCACCACCTTGACAAGGTGGGCCTGAGACCAGGGTAGTCAGCTGGCAGAAGAAAAGGCTGCACTGTGGCAGGAAGAAGGACAGCTAAGTCACACTGGATTCAGAGCACAACAGTTGGAAATCATGAACTCCTAAATTTCTCTAAAAAATTTTTACTTTAAATTGGAATTAGTAATTGAAGTCCAAATATCCATTAATTGGAGTAACTGCTTCATCATGTCTTATAATTTACCTATAGAGAAAACGCAATCTTTTAGCAAAGCTGCAATTTTAAGTACCACACTTACCATTACTTTTGATGCTCAAGTGGCCTTTAAATATGCATGGTGAACTGTATCTGGGAAGGACCGCGGTTGCTCTGACTTTTAACAACAAAAAACATGAATTAGGATAAGTGAAACACAACTTCACACACACACACAAAAAGCTGAGTATTTCAAGAGTAATACATTTAAAGTCATTTAGAAATTTTATTCAATTACATTACTAGCCAGCAACAATATACAGCATACCTGCCTTATTTGTGGATTTATTACATACTGTTTTAACCAAACACAGTAAAAAATGAATGAAAAAACTCAAAAGAAATTTCAAAATCAAAAAACTTTAATCCCACACACACTGCGCAGTTCAGTGGATGTGGAGAAACTCTCAGTCAGCCCTGCATTACCGTCAGTTGTGTTTAAATCACTGTGATCTGCTGCCCTTCACTGTGTGAAAATATGTCTCCTAAAACAGCAACTGCTTCCACAAAAGCAAGGTAAAAGTTATGGTTTGCTGAAAGGCGGCAGAAGTTGGGCAGCACCATGGGAAACACGAATCAAGCATCCACAGCACAGTGCTGAACTCTGCATACTGAGCACGCAGACACCAAGGGTTCATTGTACCAACACAAAAATTCTGTGGCCACAAGACAGTAAGTTATTTTCACTGGGTAAAATAATGCACACATCAATTATCTCACTTGATGTATTTTAAGTTTATTCTGTACACCTATGATTCTTAATTGTGTTGAGATAATATCACTAAGATTTTTGAGTTAATACAAAGGTTTTAACTAATTTAATCACAAGCCAATCTGTCTTTAAAATAATTTTAGGATAGTAATCCTCTCACAAAGAAAAGTATATTAGAAATTATAATAGATTACTATGTATAAAGTATGTACATCAGACTTTGATGATTGAGGTGATACCCTTTGAATTTGTGATGAAGATAGTCATTAAATTAGTTTAACTTCTGCCAAGACTGAAGGGGGTCTGAAAGTTAAAAGATGTCTTAAGGTTCGTCTAAGTTCAAACTCAGTTACTCCTTGCTTGAATCGGATACAAATATCTTGCATTAAAACTCTTGTTCCTTCCTATTATTGCTTATACTCTCTCTTCAACAAAATTAGAGATAAGGGCAAAATAGTTTCTGCTGGGTATTGAGGGGTGGGGGGAGGGGAGGGGGGGCAGAGTGGGTGGTAAGGGAGGGGGTGGGGGCAGGGGGGAGAAATGACCCAAGCCTTGTATGCACATATGAATAATAAAACAATAAAAATTAAACAAAGAAATACCTTGCATTTATCAGGTCTCTCTCCTCTCTCTTTCTACTTTTCCCTTTTGAGATGGTATCTCACTATGTTGCTCAGGCTGGTCTTGAACTCCTGGGCTCAAGTGATCCTCCTGCCTCAGTCTCCTGAGTAGCCAGGACTATAAGTGCACACCACTGTACCCAGTTAAACACTGCATTTGAAAGGAATTTCAGTAATGGAAAACTATCTTCTCTAAAAGTAGAGTCAGATTTTTCAGACTACATGGAATATTAGAAAATTACATATGGACCTCATCTCAAAATAATTTTCTTAAAAAGTGATTGTGTTTTTAGCTATAATTTTCAAAACAGAAAAGCTGAGTTAATGTTAAATGTAATTAACACACAAAACCTGACTATTGTATCCCCAAGACAAATTGATTTTTGGTGCCTGGGGTAGAACCCAGGGCCTTGCACATGCTTCTTTTACAAGTAGATTTCTAGGTCCTGTGGTGGGTTATATTTTAAAGCCTTCAAAGAAAATTTGAATGTTCTACTTCTGAGTGATACCCTTAGCTCCTGAAATGTTTTAAGAGGGTAAAATGGCGCAAGTTTGTTATGAGATGGACTGTTAAAAGCTATACAGGTAGGGGGAGGATACATGCAGACTTGAGAATAAATATGGATGACTAAAGGAGCTATTTAGACAGGATAGCTAAAATCTAGATCCAGAGAAGAATAAACCAAAAAAAATGACTCAAGGCCAGAACAGCTGAAAAGCTCCTTCTACATTATAGGGCAGAAGACAGGAAGAAAAACAAATTCAATTATTTAGAAAACAGAAGTTGAGGTGATACCCTTTGAATTTTTGTGATGAAGATAGTCATTAGTTTAACTTCTGCCAAGACTGAAGGGGGTCTGAAAGTTAAATATTAAAAACAAAACCAGGCAAGATATAATTAATAAACTTTTAAGAAAACCTTTTTTCTTTGGAGAAGAAAAGAATCCTTGACTTTTTGCTTATCTAGAACTCAGTCCGTCTTTATCTGGAAAGAACCTCAAGCTTCCTTTAGGAAACCAGCCCTCTTCTATGTTTAACCCAGGTAGCTCAGGGTTGGGTATAGAACCCATGTCAGGACAGCTATGTTGACAAAATCAGCAATGACTACATGACCCAAGTCCAGTCAATGAGACATAATCCTGGGATTCTTTTTTTTTAAATTTTTATCTTATTCATATGTGCATACAATGTTTGGGTCATTTCTTCCCCCCTGCCCCTGCTCCCTCCCTTCCCCCCCCTTACCCCTCACTACCAGGCAGAAATTATTCTGCCCTTATCTCTAATTTTGTTGAAGAAAGAGTATAAGCAACAAAAGGACCAAGGGTTTTTCACTAGTTGAGATAAGGATAGCTATACAGGGAGTTGACTCGCATTGATTTTCTGTACATGTGTGTTATCTTCTAAGTTAATTCTTCTCGAACTAACCTCTTCTCTAGTTCCTGGTCCCCCTCTCCTATTGGCCTCAGTTGCTTTAAAGTATCTGCTTTAGTTTCTCTGCGTTGAGGGCAACTAATGCTATCTAGTTTTTTGGGTGTCTTACCTATCCTCATATCTCCCTTGTGTGCTCTCGCTTTTATCATACGATCAAAGTCCAATCCCCTTGTTGTGTTTGCCCTTGATCTAATGTCCACATATGAGGGAGAACATATGATTTTTGGTCTTTGGGCCAGGCTAACCTCACTCAGAATGATGTTCTCCAATTCCATCCATTTACCAGCGAATGATAACATTTCGTTCTTCATGGCTGCATAAAATTCCATTGTGTATAAATACCACATTTTCTTGATCCATTCGTCAGTAGTGGGGCATCTTGGCTGTTTCCATAACTTGGCTATTGTGAATAGTGCTGCAATAAACATGGGTGTGCAGGTGCCTCTGGAGTAACCTGTGTCACATTCTTTTGGGTATATCCCCAAGAGTGGTATTGCTGGATCATATGGTAGATCAATGTTTAGATGTTTAAGTAGCCTCCAAATTTTTTTTCCAGGGGTTCCTTTTTCCCCATATCCTCGCCAACCCCTGTTGTTGGTGGTGTTGCTAATGATGGCTATTCTAATAGGGGTGAGGTGGAATCTTAGTGTGGTTTTAATTTGCATTTCCTTTATTGCTAGGGATGGTGAGCATTTTTTCATGTGTTTTTTGGCAATTTGAATTTCTTCTTTTGAGAAAGTTCTGTTTAGTTCACTTGCCCATTTCTTTATTGGTTCATTAGTTTTGGGAGAATTTAGTTTTTTGAGTTCCCTATATATTCTGGTTATCAGTCCTTTGTCTGATGTGTAGCTTACAAATATTTTCTCCCACTCTGTGGGTGGCCTCTTCAGTTTAGAGACCATTTCTTTTGTTGAGCAGAAGCTTTTTAGTTTTATGAAGTCCCATTTATCTATGCTGTCTCTTTGTTGCTGAGCTGCTGGGGCTCCATTGAGAAAGTTCTTGCCTATACCTATTAATTCCAGAGTATTTCCTACTCTTTCCTGTGCCAACTTTAGAGTTTAGGGTCTGATATTAAGGTCCTTGATCCATTTTGAGTTAATACTGGTATAGGGTGATATACATGGATCTAGTTTCAGTTTTTTGCAGACTGCTAACCAGTTTTCCCAGCAGTTTTTGTTGAAGAGGCTGTCTTTTCTCCATCGTATATTTTTAGCGCCTTTGTCAAAGACAAGTTGGTTATAGCTGAGTGGCTTCATATCCGGGTCCTCTATTCTGTTTCACTGGTCTTCATGTCTGTTTTTGTGCCAGTACCATGCTGTTTTTATTGTTATTGCTTTGTAATATAGTTTGAAGTCAGGTATCGTGATACCTCCAGCATTGTTCTTTTGACTGAGTATTGCCTTGGCTATTCGTGGCCTCTTGTGTTTCCACATAAATTTAATGGTAGATTTTTCAATCTCTTTGATGACTGTCATTGGAATTTTGATGGGAATTGCATTAAACATGTAGATTACTTTTGGGAGTATAGACATTTTTTACTATGTTGATTCTACCAATCCACGGGCATGGGAAATCTCTCCACTTTCTATAGTCTTCCTCAATCTCTTTCTTCAGAAGTGTATAGTTTTCCTTGTAGAGGTCGTTCACATCCTTTGTTAAGTTTACACCTACGTATTTGA